ATATTGTGTGAAGTTGTGAAGATGTTCACTACATAAAGTTAGTAAGTATATGGCAGGTAATTCCTCGGAATTACCTAAGTAATTATGCTTAGTAAATATATGGCAGTTAATTCCTTTTTCTTTTTCTTTTTTCTTTTTTTTTCCAGACTTCTTTCTTAACTACCAACGACAGGTAATCCCTCAGAATTCAGTTTCAGAGAACTTAATCAGAGCCTATTTTATTTTCACTGGATACTGAATTCAATATTGACAGCTGTTTCCCTTCAGCACTTGAGAAATATGATGCCACTTCCTTTTGATATCTGTGGTTTTTAATGAGAAATTCACTCTTGCTCAAATTGCCCTTTCCCTACAGGTAATGTATTTCTCTCTGACTGTTTTCAGGTTCTATTCTTGAATCTGGATATTCTAAATCTTATAATGTATCTAGACATGGATTTATTTGAGGTTTTCCTTTTGGAGATTTGGTCAGCTACTTGAATCTGTACATTTATGCCTTTTACCAAATTTGGGAGGTTTTCAGCTATTATTTCTTCATATCTTTTTCCGGTCTCCCATCCTACTTTTTCATTCCTTCTAGGACTGATGAAATGATTGTTGGCTGTTCTGTTATTGTCCCACTGGGTCCCTTAGGCTGTATTCAGCCTAAGAGAATTGATGAAACAATCATTTCATCAATTATTTTTTTCTATTGTTCAGATCGGATTATTTCTATTTATGTATCTTACAGGTAACTGAGGTAACTGATTCTTTTCTTTGGATCTCCATTCTGCTGTTGAAATCATCCAGTGAAGTTTTTAATTTCACATACTGTATTTTTTGGTTCTAAAATTTTCATTTTGTTCTTCCTTATATCTTCTGTTTCTTTGCTGAGAATGTATATATTTCCACTTAATTCAAGACTCTTTATAGCTGCTTGTTGCAACACTTTTAGTTAGCTACTTTAAATCCTTGTCAAATAATTCCAATATCTGATTTATCTGTGTTGCTATCTGTTGATGCTCTTTTCTTATTTGATTTGAGCTTTTCTTGGTTCTTAAGATGATGAATAATTTTGGATTTATTCAGGACATTCTGAATATCATGTTATGAGATTTGGTTTCTCTTTAAATCTTCTTTTCTAGCCATTGTCAACACATTTAGGTTTAGAGTGCATGTCTTAAGTCTATTTTTATGGGCTATAGTTAAAATTCAACTTAGTTTTGAAAGTCTTTGCAGTTCTAATCTGGTCTCTTTCATTTTTATGCTACCCAGAAGCCAATTTGAAAACCTGGAGAGTACTCCACAACCTGAAAGCTTTTTCTTGTTGATTTTGATTGATTTTATACATGGGCTGCTCATAGGTGTGCCCAGGGCATCATGCACATATTTAAAGGACCCTTTTTTATAACTTTCTCCATAATCCACCTCCACTTTCTATTGGAAGGAGAAAGTGGGAACTTCTTTGCTGTCATTCCCTTAATTTGGGGTAGGGTTAGTCAACACAGTCTCCACAATGCCTGCTGGAGACGTAAGAGGGGTGCTACCTCTCTTTGAGCTAATGCAGTTGGGATGGTTGAGAGAGCTCCATTCCACCATCTTAGCAGTCACATCATTTAGTGAAGAAGGCAAAGCATGCCTCTTCTTTTGTAGTTTTCACCTTCAGTGTACTGTGGTGCAGTAAAGGATTAACTTTTCCCAAAGAGAGGTTTGGCTTTTGTATTCATCTCCTGGGAGGTAACCTCTAAATCTTTGGAATGTCCTGCAGGCCTTGCTTGGGCCATGCAAGATAATATATAACAACAATGTGATTTATGGTTGGAGCTTTAGGCCGCACTGAATATTCTATGCCAACATGTGGTTTATAGTGGGGTACCTTTGGCCATGCGGTATCAGCTCTGCAGGGGCAGGAGACTAAGATCTGCCACAGTGGGAGTCATTCATGTCCGGATAGTCAAGTCTCAGTAAAAACTGTGGGCGTCAAAGCTTAAGTGAACTTCCCGACTTGGCAATACTCCATGCATATTATCATCACACATCATTGCTGGGAGAAGTACATGCTGTCCATATGGCTCCACTGGGAGAAAACCACTGGAACTCACACCTGGAACTCTCCTTGACCCTGCACTAAGCACATCTTTCCTTGGCTGATTTTAATCTGTATCCTTTCATTGTAAAACCCCAATGTATAACGCCATAGCCATGAGTGTAATGGCCTTTCTAATTTCTGTGAGTTCTTCCAGTGAATTATGGAACCTGAGGGTGGTCCTTGAGGACCCTTGACTTGTAATTGGTGTCAGAAGTACAGGTGATCCTGGGAAATCCCTCTGCTTGCAGTAGGTGTCAGAAGTGGGGGTGCTCTTGGGCACTTCTGAACTTCGTAGGTATGTATAGTCAAAATGTCCCAGCCTGCAATGCTGCCCTATTTCAAATTATTTGGCTAGAAAGTGTGTGCTTTGGGGAGGCCTTTTTTGGTCTGTGCCCATTGATTTTTCCAGGTTGCAAGCTACTCTAGTGTTCATTTGGCAGTATGTAGGGGCTCCCTCTCTCCCTCTAAGCAATCCTAGGGAACTCACTACTGTGTTGTTTTTTAAGTCTTTAGGTTCTACTTTCTTTTCTCCACCAGTGAGTCTTCTGATACATGTTTTACGTATTTTTCTAGATTTTTAGGTAATTAGCAGGAAGAATGGGGTGGAATGCACTCTTTGTTTTGCTTTGTTGTTAGAACCAGAAGTCTCAATCCTTGCTTTTAACTTGAATATTTAATGCATTTATACTTAATGTAATTACTAATATGCTTAAATTTATATATACTACCTTACTATTAGTTTTTATTTGAACTACCTATTTTTTCATTCCTTTCTTGACTTTTTATATTACATAATTTTTTAACTTTTTTTTGCTTTGTTTACTTGTTATAATTCTTTTCTGTTTATTTCTTACCCTAGATATTAAAACATCCATCTTTAACTTATTTTGTCTCCCTCATAATGCTAGGATACTAAAACACTCTAATTATATTTACTGCCTCCCACTTTTGCATTATTATTCCCATGAAGTTAATTTCTGCATATATTTTAAACCTCCCAGAATAGTACTGTTATTGTTTTGCATAGTCAGTATTTGCAGTTTTGTAAAGAGGTATTTGAAAGTCTTGAATCCTAAGGGTTGATGTCATTCATAGCCATTACTTCTTCAAATATTGCTTCCTCCCTCTCTGCTCCTCTTTAACTCCTCAGACTCTAATAGGTTATGCCTTTTTACTATGTCACACATGTTCCTAATGTCCCTGTTTTTTTTTTTCTTTAAAAATAATCTCTGCTTCAGTTTGGATATTTTCTATTTGTCTTCCATTTCAGTAATTCTGTATTTTGCTGTTAAACCTGTTTAAGGACATCTTAATTTTAGATATTGGATTTTTCAACTTTTGAACTTTGATTTGATTCTTTATTTAAAAAAAACAATTATCTAAAGATATTCATCTTCTCATCTAACTCCAATTCTCTGTGTAACTGTTTCTGTTGAATTTTTCTTTCGCTGATTTTGGATATTTGGTCCTATATTTTTGTATGTATAGGATTTGTTGTTTGTTTCGAACACCAGGTATAAAAAGTCGTAGGCAGGGCTCATACCTGGGAGGCTGAGGTGGGCAGATCACTTGAGCTCAGGAGTTCGAGACCAGTCTGTGCAACATGGCGAAACCCATCTCTGCAAAAGATAGAGAAATTAGCTGGGCATGGTAGCATGTGCCTGTAGTCCCAGCTACTTGGAGGGCTGAGACAGGACGATCACTTGAGTCCAGGTTGAGGCTGCAGTGAGCCGTGTTCATGCCACTGCACTCCAGCCTGGATGACAGAGCAAGACCTTGTCTCAGAAAAAAAAAAAAAAAAAAAGAAAGAAAGAAAGAAAGAAAGAAAAGGTGTAGAGGATCTGGATGGTGTTATCTTTCTCCACAGAGGATTCATCTTTCCTTATGTCCGCAAATGGAGGGAAGGGAGAACACGTACATCCGGTCAGGCACAGTGTTGAATCAAGGCCAGGTTGAAGCTCTGCTAAGACTCAGTTTACTTCTGGATCACCCTGACTACTGAGAATTTTCAGCTGAGAGCCCTTCTGTCCTCCAGAGACCCTCCTCATAGATGCCCAACTGTTTTCTTAAAGATACTAGGCTTTTGCTTTGCTCTTCAAAGGCTATTTGCTTACATTTTTAGTCTTCTGCGCTGTATGCCCTAGAATTCAGCAAATATCCTGAGAAGCAAACGGCCATGTGTTTGAGTTACGTTGGTTTCTCTGTCACCCAGCTGCAGCCTTCTACTGCATTCTCCAGTAGCTAGGACAAAATGTGAGAATCCAGGACAAAAGCTGGATTCTCACCTTTTGTCCACACCCAGAACTGGTAAATGCTCCACTGTCAAAGTGGTTGCACTAATCAGCCTCAGTCTTGAGTATCCTCTCCAGTCTTAGCCCCTACATTTCTTGTTACCTCAACAGCTTTCCAGTACCTTAAAACAGATTGTTTCAGTATTGCAACTGGCATTTACTGTTCATTCTTGAAAGAAGCACTGGACTGCCAAGCTACTGTATCCCATCTGGAAATGGCAGTGCCAAAAAACAACCCTCCCCTTCATACGTCACACAGTTTACCATTTAAAGTGTACCATGTATTGATTCTTAGTATATTCAATCAGTTGTACTACCATCATTATAATTAATTTGAGACATTTTCTTTATCATCCTGATGGGTGTGAGCTAATACCTTATAGTTTTAATTTGTATTTCCCTAGAGATTAATGATGTTGAGCATCTTTTCATGTGCTTATTGACTATTAGAATATCTTCCTTGGAGAAATGTCTTTTTAAGCTTTTTACCCATTTTAAAAATAATGTTGTTTGTTGTTGTAGAGTTGTAGAAGTTCTTTATAGTATACTGTATCACATTAAAAATAAGGGCCTATCTTGTTTCCATTCTGTAATCTCTATCCTTCACATTGAATTGTTTTGTTTTGTTTTGTTTTTTACAGGAATCGGTTTCATTCAAGGATGTAACTGTAGACTTCAGCAGGGATGAGTGGCAACAATTAAACATTGCTCAGAAAAGTCTGTACAGAGATGTGATGCTGGAAAACTATTTCAACTTGATCTCAGTGGGTAAGCACAGCTCTGCTGGATATACAGTAGGCTGCAGCTAATTGAGTATTATTTTTTTCTCAGTAGAATTGCTGAAGTCTGTGTTTTCTGAGGTATGTGGGACTTCTAAAGACTGCAGGACATCTAAAGTGTGTAATGGTTTTGTCCTTATATCGTCCCATGTTCTTAATAATCTCTTTTGGGTAGTGTGAATATTCCTCTGTTCCCAGTGAACTTTTCTGGAAAGCAAATGGAATGCTTCATTGTATGGCCTCTGAAACCAAGTCCTCTATCATCTTCTGTTAACAGGGTGTCAAGTTCCCAAACCAGAAGTCATCTTCAACTTGGAACAAGAAGAGCCACGTATGTTGAATGGTGGGATTTCCAGTCAGAGCTGTCCAGGTTAGACGGGAACCAAGAACATGGTAGACAGTATGACTCAGCTGCATTCGTACTGGGAGAGGCTATGCACAACTTTGCACAACTTTGGTGTGTCATTAATATGACTTTTAGAACTGCTTGGATAGAGCAGTTATTGGACAAGGACCCTTGGATATCTAAATGCTAACCCCACTTAAGACCCCTTCTCATATCAGTGCCTTCTTTGCTTGGCTTTTTAGGAGAGAATGTGCCACAGTTACCTGTTCTTTTGATCATGTCACACCGTACTTTCTAGAGTCCTGCTTTTTTGCTTCTCTATTTCCCTAAAAAAGTTTTATTCTTTCTACCTCCATCTTAGGTCATTTCCTTATGCATTCAAATACTCACAGATCTACCTTCTTAAAAAGTTATTGTGCATATCATCATCAATGTGTTTGTGGCTTCCCTCTTATTTTATTTATTCTTTTCAATCCTCACTCTCCATACTCGTTGTTATCCTCCCAAGAGGCAACTGTTCTAATATATTTAACATGTTATGCCATTTATCCTTGAATTTGTGGGATATTTGTAAAATCTGAGTTGTTGGTATTGTGAATTACGATATCCCATTCAGTTTTTTTCTCAAATTGGTCCATGTTGCAATGTATTTTTCTAATTGCCACATATCATTCTGTAGTGCACATATATACCACATTTTACTTGTCCAGTTTTTCAGCTACTACAAACAGTACTGCAATACATTTTTTCATGAATTATTCTTATCGGAGATGAGACTTTCTTAAGGAAGAGGAGTGGGATTACTTTATCACTGCATGTACTATATAATATGATGAGGTATAAGCACATCATTTTCCAGATTGGCTGCGTCACTCTACAATACCTGTAACTTTGTACAAGGGTATTAGTTTCCCCACATCCCTACCCCTACATACCTGGTATTATCCAAATTTTTAATAATTTAGCTAATCTGATAGGTTTTACTTTCATACTTATTATTTAATTTGTATTTCCCTATAAAATATTTTGAACATCTCATTCTGTATCCTCCATTTTTGATGTTTAACTGCTGACATTTTCTAAACCTCACCCTTCTCTTTTTCTGCCCCACACCTGGATAAACTGAGACAAAAGCCCATGTGTTCCTTTCATTGATGCTGGTGGGAAATTCCAACTACATAAGGGAATAGTCAGCCCAGCCCCACCCCCTGCCGTAAACACCCCAAAACAGTCCTTTCCTTGCTTACCCTAGTCCTATTTGGACTTGATTGGAGCTGTCCCCAGAAAGCCTCATTATGTGAGTAATGAGTCTTTTTATACCCTCTTATTGTGTGTGTCTCATCATCACTCTTGACATCTGAACCAGGTTTGGGGTTGGGTCCATTTCTCCTTTGCAGGTCATTTACAGCTGGGGCAGTGAGCAGAATGTCCAGACAATGACCACCCCCACAGGGGTCTTTCTTCTCTTCCTAGCTGGTTATACTGCCTGCTGGCAAGTATGCACTTCACCTCTGTCCTATACATAACAACCTACATTAGAAGTTATCATGGACATTTAGAGACAGGTGTAAGGGCTTTGGGCTCTCCTTAAAGTTGCCCTGAGCCATGTGTCTCAGCCCGGACCTATCTGTGTCTCAGATTATGTGTCTCAGCTGCAGCATAAGCTCCGAGTGATAATTGGCTCATGGGAACAACTTTTACTCGGTGACTGTCCTTTGTGTGTCTCAGTCAGGCATTGGCCCTGTTGTATACAGCACTCGGGGAAAGACCAATACCTTGTGCCTATCAGGGTCTGGCTGTTTGTGTGAAGGAAGACAAGATACAATGTAGCATGCTAAAAGCAGGTGGCTTGGCTTTCGAAATGTCATCATCCTCTCATGTAGTTTTTTACTTTTCCCTCTAATCTGTCTTCTCAGCTCATTCATTCTGCTCTTCCACTTATTTTTTTCATTTAGAAAACACCACTTAGATGCCTTTTTCTTACCTCCCAGTCATATCACCTACAACCGTGTCTATTTTCTCATGCCTGGATTATTCTAATCCTATTTGTATGTGATAATCCCATTTTTTTTCTTTTTCCGTATTTCATCTCAGATGCTGATAGATTTCATTACTTAAAACATTGTATGCTGTGTTTATCCTGCCATTGCTACATGGAACAAAAATAAAGTTACTACTTAATAGCTAACACGTGACAGATTCTCCTCTCAGTATGTTTTTAAGCTAGAGAAAGAATATGGCCTCATCTTTGCAACTCACATTGGTCCCTGTTTTCTGTAACCATTTCTACCCCATTTTAACATTTTCTTTAATACTCCCTCTTCATTGAACCCTTTGATTATTTTGTGATCTATCTGTCTATTCAAATTATACACATATTTTGGCCAGGCACGGTGGCTCATGCCTGTAATACCAGCAGTTTCGGAGGCCAGGGCAGGTGGATCACCTGAGGTCAAGAGTTTGAGACCAGCGTGGCCAACATGGTGAAACCTCATCTCTACTAAAAATACAAAAAATAGTATTTTTACAAATACATGTATGGGGTCACATGCCGGTAGTCCCACTTACTCATGTGGCTGAGGCAGGAGAATTGCTTAAATACAGGAGGTGGAGGTTGCAGTGAACCAAGCTCACACCACTGCAGTCCAGCCACTCCAGCCTGGGTGACAGAGTGAGGCTCCATCTCAAAAGAAAATAGACCAATTGATATATAGAGTTCATTCAAGCAAACAGAGAAATGAGAGAGTCTATATGACTATAACAAATATTCAGATGAGACTTTGGACTGATAATTTGAAAAAAAAGAAATATAACAAATATATATACATTTTACTGTTTACTGTTTGGCCAATTTAGGATGAGTAAGCTATCATAATTTTACTATAAGCACTAATAAATTGGTATTTAGGGCACAGTGGATCATAGAGAAAACACAAAGCAGGAAGATTGTGAGGATTTACAGATTAAAGATCAGAATCTGGACTCAGAAATACTTCTTTTAAGCCACAGAGTTTGTTCTTCTGACACCTCACTCACCATGCAGTTCTACTACATTTGCACCAAATTGGAATTTCTTCCCCAATTACTAAACATTTGGTTGAGGCAAATTACTAAACTCTTCTATGGCTCAGTTTCCTCATCTGTAAACTAGAAACAATAATAATACCAACAGCAAAGGGTTGCGATAAAGTGCTTTTTGTTTTTGTTTTTAAGAGACAGGGTCTCACCTGGGCCTGGTGGCTCACGCCTGTAATCCCAGCACTTTGAGAGGCCAAGGCAGACAGATTGCTTGAGGTCAGGAGTTCGAGACCAGCCTGGCCAACATGGTGAATCCCTGTTTCTACTAAAAATACAAAAATTAGCCAGGCATGGTGGCATGCACCTGTACTTCCAGCTACTCAGGAAGCTGAGGCACAAGAATCCCTTGAACTCAGGAGGTGGAGGTTGCAGTGAGCTATGATCTCGCCATTACACTCCAGAGCCTGGGCAACAGAGTGAGACCCTGTCTCAAAAAAGGAAAAAAAAAAGGGAGAGAGACAGGGTCTCACTCTTTTGCCCAGGATGGAGTGTAATGGTGCAATCATAGCTTAATGCAGCTTCAAATATCTGGGTTCAAGTGATCCTCCTGCTTCAGCCTCCGAAGTAGCTGGGACTATAGGCACATGCCACTATACCCAGCTAATTTTTTGTTTTATCTGTAAAGATGGGGGTCTCACTATGTTATTCAGGCTGGTCTCAAACTCCTGGACTCAAGCAATCTTCTCATCTCAGCCTCCCAAAGTCCTGGGATTACAGGCATGAGCCAGCAACGACACCTGGCTGGGATAAAATTTAGGTAAATTAATAACTTAAGAACAGCACATCTAAATGGTATTGTTTATCATGTCATAAATATATTAATATTATTACCATATATCATTGTATTTATTATATATAAATAGATTATTATACCCGTTTATTTATGTATATTTAAAATGTTCATGTACATTTGTTATACTTACATAGCCTGTCTCATTTCCCTGTGTTTGCCTTGGATCAACTCTGTATATCAATTAGTCTTATCATTTTGTGTGTGTGTGTGTGTGGAAACAGAGTCTTGCTCTGTCACCCCGGCTAGAGTGCAGTGGCGCAGTTTCAGCTCACTGCAGCCTCTGCCTTCAAGCCATTCTCTTGCCTCAGCCACTCAAGTAGCTAGGATTACAGGCATGCAGCACCACGCCTGGATAATTTTTAGTAGAGACAGTATTTGTAGTGTTTTTGTAGAGACAGAGTTTTGCCATGTTGCCCAGGCTGGTCTCAAACTCCCGGCCTCAACTGATCTGCCCACCTCAGCCTCCCAAAATGCTGGGATTACAGGCATGAGCCACTGCACCTGGCCTTATTTTCTGTTAATTGTTCTCTCTGTCAGTCTTTTCTTTTCTTTCTTTTTTAGATGGGAAAATTGGTTTTGAATCTTTACAACAGAGAATGTCTGAAGAAGTTTCTTTCCAGTCTGAGAGAATTAATCTCTTCACAAGAGATGACCCATATTCCATTTTAGAAAAGTTGTGGAAAGATGATGAACACACAAGAAGAAGTGGAGAAAACCAGAACAAACCTTTAAGTCGTGTTGCCTTCATTCACAAGAAAACGCTAGCTAATGACAGGGTCTGTGACTATAAGGATACTGGGGAAATAGTTCATGTAAACACACACCTGGTTTCCTCAAGAAAAAGACTCCATAACTGTAACTCATTTGGAAAGAATTTGGAGCCTATAATAACCTTGTATAATGGAAATGCAACAGAAAATTCTGATGAGATTATTGGAGATGGTGATATTTTTACTCATCTGAATTCTCATACAGTAGTGACTGCTTGTGAATGTAATCAATGTAGGAAACCTCTCCATCATAAGCAAGCTCTCATTCAACATCAGAAAATTCATACTAGAGATAGCCTCTATTTGTTTTCTGACTGTGTAAATGTTTTATCCCAGAATTCACATGCCTTTGCACATGAGAGTGTTTGTACTGAAGAAAAGCAGCATAAATGCCTTGAATGTGAGGCAGTCTTCACTGAGAAGTCTCAACTTGATGGCCATCAGAGGGTTTATGCAGGAGAGAAACCTTGTGTATGCAGTGAATATGAGAAGGATTTTTCCCTCAAGTCAAATCATCAGAAAACTCCTAATGAGGGGAATTACTATAAATGCGGTGGCTATGGGAGAGCCTTTATCAAGAAGTCAGATCTGTTCAGATGCCAGAGAATTCATTCTGGAGAAAAACACTATGTGTACAGCGAATCTGAGAAAAACTTCTCTCAGAGTTCAAACCTTAATATACATAAAAAAATTCATACTGGAGGGAAACACTTTGAATGTACTGAATGTGGAAAAGCCTTCACAAGGAAATCAACACTAAGTATGCATCAGAAAATCCATACAGGAGAAAAACCCTACGTATGTACTGAATGTGGGAAGGCCTTTATCCGGAAGTCACATTTTATCACACATGAAAGAATTCATACTGGAGAAAAACCCTATGAATGCAGTGACTGTGGGAAATCCTTTATTAAAAAATCACAACTCCATGTGCATCAGCGAATTCACACAGGAGAGAATCCCTTTATATGTTCAGAATGTGGGAAGGTTTTCACTCACAAGACAAATCTCATTATACACCAGAAAATTCATACTGGAGAAAGACCCTATATATGTACTGAATGTGGTAAGGCCTTTACGGACAGGTCAAATCTCATTAAGCACCAAAAAATTCATACTGGAGAGAAACCTTATAAATGCAGTGACTGTGGAAAATCATTCACCTGGAAGTCACGGCTCAGGATACATCAGAAGTGTCATACTGGAGAGAGACATTATGAATGCAGTGAATGTGGGAAAGCATTCATTCAGAAATCAACACTAAGTATGCACCAGAGAATTCATAGAGGAGAAAAACCATATGTTTGCACTGAATGTGGTAAGGCCTTCTTCCACAAATCACATTTTATTACACATGAAAGAATTCATACTGGAGAGAAACCCTATGAATGCAGTATTTGTGGGAAATCCTTCACTAAGAAATCACAGCTCCATGTACATCAGCAAATTCACACAGGAGAGAAACCCTATAGATGTGCTGAATGTGGAAAGGCTTTTACTGACAGATCAAATCTTTTTACACACCAGAAAATTCACACTGGAGAAAAACCTTATAAATGCAGTGACTGTGGGAAAGCCTTCACTCGGAAGTCGGGTCTCCATATACATCAGCAATCCCATACTGGAGAAAGGCATTATGAGTGCAGTGAATGTGGGAAAGCCTTTGCAAGAAAATCAACACTTATCATGCATCAGAGAATTCATACAGGAGAGAAACCCTATATTTGTACTGAATGTGGGAAATCCTTCATCCAGAAGTCACACTTAAATAGACACAGGAGAATTCATACTGGAGAGAAACCCTATAAATGCAGTGACTGTGGGAAGTCTTTCATTAAGAAGTCACAACTCCATGAGCATCATCGAATTCACACAGGAGAGAAACCATATATATGTGCTGAGTGTGGAAAGGCCTTCACCATCAGATCAAATCTTATGAAACACCAGAAAATTCATACTAAACAGAAACCCTGTAAGTGCAGTGACTTGGGGAAAATCTTAAACTGGAAGCCACAACTCAGTATGCCTCAGAAAACTGACACTGGGAAAGTAGAGTGCCCAATGCCACAATTATTGTGTGGGGACTCAGGAGGTAACCAAGGCCAGCTTTCTTCTATCTAGTTAGAATTATGAACATCTGGATTATGTAGCTGATACCCAGTTACACATATGGGGAGATACTATTGAGAGTGTTTAAGCAATGTATAGTGGCCATATTTGGTTACTTAAGAAGTATTGGTGTTGTCAAGCTCCTGCAAATAATACCAAATATACAAGGAGATGACTTGCAGTCTTGTTTCACTTTTTGGGCAAACAGTTTTATAAATTCAGGGATGTTGAGTTTTTCATGTTCTGGGTACTATTCAGTATTGACACAATAAAATTCATGATAAGTAGAGTGATAATTTTACATTGTCTAAGCAGCCTAAGGACACAGATCAAGACAAAAGGAGGGCAATTCAGATCTATACTGAAAATAAATCAGCAATTTTCCTAAAAATTAACACTAAAGACAGAAAGAAAGGACTCTACTTTTTTTCTCTTTACTTTGGGAAGTCACTATTATTTATTGTTATATCTGTTGGTGTGTACCAGGGCAGCAGGTACCAAGGAGGTCTGAAATTGCTCCTGGCCTATTTATCAAAAGCCTACTTTCCCAATGATGTACACAACAGTCCTCTAACTACTTATCACCTTAAAACTGGCCCTAAGCTGCCGGGCATGGTGGCTCACGCCTGTAATCCCAGCACTTTGGGAGGCCAAGACGGGTGGATCACGAGGTCAAAAGATCGAGACCATCCTGGTCAACATGGTGAAACCCCGTCTCTAATAAAAATACAAAAAATTAGCTGGGCATGGTGGCGCGTGCCTGTAATCCCAGCTACTCAGGAGGCTGAGGCAGGAGAATTGCCTGAACCCAGGAGGCGGAGGTTGCAGTGAGCCGAGATCGCGCTATTGCACTCCAGCTTGGGTAATAAGAGTGAAACTCCGTCTCAAAAAAAAAAAAAAGAACTGGCCCTAAGATCATGGAACTTAGCTACAGGGACCCAGCTCTAGATCACAGCACTTTAGATCCTCAGCTTTGACCACAGAAACCTGCACTTCATGGATGTTGTTGTTACCAATTCCTGTTTGAAAAATAGGACAAATTAAGAAAATGGATGTCAAACCCTAAATTTTTTTCCAATTTTGTTAGTACATTCTTTACATGTTCGTTACTTGCTAGATTATCATGAGTTTGTTTCATTAGAAGATAAAATGTAGTTGAACATTTGGAAGCCTTCTCCTTTTATCTCCTTGCAATCTCTACAAACTATTTTAATTAATTTTGTTTTCCAGATTCTCTGTATTTCAATAGACTTTTTTTGTCTTCTATAAGATACTGAAAGAAGTGTGTTGTAATTTTACAAATAATTGTGAATTTGTCTACTTTAGAGCTACTAATTTTTGCTTTATATATTTTGTCTTTGATTTTACATACAATTTAGAATTGTTACAATTTTCCTAGTTAATTGACACGTTATCATTATTAGATGTTTCTTTTTATCGCTAGTAATTTTTTGCCTTAAATGTACAATGTCAGATACTAATATAATATGCGTACTGATTAAAAGCTAATGTAAATTAGTACTAACAACATTTCTGGACATTAATTATAACATTAATTCCATTTATTTAGCCCTCATATGGTATTGATGTTGTATATTTGGATTCTGTATATGGTGAACATAGCCAATCATTATTTGAGTCAATATCCATTTAAATTAATCCACATATTTATCACCTTCATTACTTTTTTATTCCTTCCTGTCCTTTAAGTTTTCCTTTAATTTTTTTTTTTTTTCTTACTGAAGAACACGCTTTAGTATTTCTTTTACTGTGAGTCTGCTGGTGACAAATTGTTGTTTGCTGGCAATGTTTTATTTTGCCTTCATTTTTGAAGGATACTTTTATTGAATATAGAATTCTAAGTTGAAAGTTATTTTCTATTAGTATTTTGATGATATTTTCCTTTGGTCTGTCTTTTATTGTTTTATTGAGAAGTAAGCTTTATACAATTACCTTTGTAAGAAATCTGCTTTTCTTTCTTCTTTGAAATTTATCTATTTGTCTTTTTAACAGTTGCACACTGATATGGCTAGGTGTAATTTTTCTGTGTTTATCCTTCTTGGAGTTTATACTGATTTTTAAATTTGTGGCTTAGTGATTTTTGGGGTGTGTGTGTTGTGTGCTTGCATATGTGTGCAAACACATGCATTTTGGGAAATTCCTAGCTATTATCTATTTATGCATCTGCCTCATTTTCTCTGTTTCTTTTAGGGATAGCCTTAATATCTAGCTCTCCTGTTGGCCTGTTTCTAATGGTTCGTATTTTTCTCTGGTTTTGCTGATGTCCTATCTCCTTATATCGTGATTTTTTATATCACTTGCCAGACAATATATATTAAAATTGTAGAGGTAATAAGATGGTCTGGATTATACCTTCTTCCACAGAAGATTTACCATAGCTTCTAACAGGTGATTAGGCTAGGTAACTAGTAATTCCTGATTGCCTTTATCTAGTCATGTATTGAGGTTATTTGAAACTCGGCTTGAGTCTCTGGAAGACTTCTCTTATTTTATTATATGTATAAAATGTGAACATATAAACCTTATTTCTAGGATAATTTTAGGCCTTAGGACTTTGGGAGGTATGTCAGGCCCCTCCTCTTTGGAAAGACTTGAATTCTATTATTTGTCCTTCAGTCACTTGAATTTGTCAAAAATTCTCTCTAGCCTCTCCTGCCCAGTATTTGCCTTCAGAATTAGCAAATACCTCTTAGTTATAAACAATCCCAAATTTCAGACATTATGTCTTGTCTCTATTTTATTCCTGCAGTTTCTCACTGCTGTGGTAACTTTCTTCAAAAAATTAAATGTGTTTAATATTTTCATCCACCTTTTTTAGTTCTCAAAGGAAGTACTAGTCTATACCACCTATTCTGCCACCATAGCTGTTTCTATTGAAGAAGTATCAAGACCAAAAATATATTTTCTAAATTACCAAAATTACTGACTTGTAAATGAAAATGCTTAGATTTGCAGCATTACTTTATTCTAGTCTTTTGTTGAAAAGTCTTAAGGCATTCGCTCATTTGTTAAAACCTTTACCAACTTTGATACATAATAGAAAATTACCTCTGGTGGTTTCAAATTTTCTTTTGGTAGCTGCCAAATTTTAACAAATGTAAGGGATTGACTAAAAGCTTCTCCAATGTCTTTTTTAATACTATGATTTTTCCTTTGTATAATTAATAGAAAAATCGGGTTAATGAAGACTGGTATAGAGTCCCAAGTTTTGAAAAATTATCTTAGTAGGATTACTGAGCTAGTGATTCTCAACCTTTATTCTCAAGCACATATTTAGAAAATATATTGTTACACTCCCAAGAAAAAGAAAAAAACTATAAAAGAGCTACTTGATCTTTTGTCAACACAGGATTAATCTCTAGAAGAAAGAAAGACTTTCTTGCATCTCAAGGGGCACTTGTGAATTGATTGAGGAATAAATTATGGAAAACTATGAGTGAATTGGGAGAGCTAAATGTTAAGTAGAACTCAAAGGTTAGTATAGATCAGAGGAATGTGGAATATAGACTTTACTAGGGAAAACACTGTACATTAGCCATATCTCCTCTTTTTTCTTCTTCTTCTTTTTTTTTTGAGATAGAGTCTTGATCTGTCACCCAGGCTGGAGTGCACTGGTGCAGTCTTGGCTCACTGCAAGCTCCACCTCCCTGGGTTCAAGCAATTCTCATGCCTCAGCCTCCCAAGTAGCTGGGATTACAGTCATGGACCACCATGCCCAGTGAATTTTTGTACATTTAGGGAAGACGGGATTTTACTATGTTGGCCAGGCTGGTCTTGAACTCCTGGCTTAAGTGATCCATCTACCTGGTCCTCCCAAAGTGCTGGGATTACAGGCGTGAACCACCATACCAAGCCAACGTTTCTTTTTATGCCAGCACTCTATTATAGTTCATCTGTATTTACAGCAAACTATTTTAAGACAGTTTTACAGTTTAAATGTTTTAATAAAAATGTATTTTGTTCTATTTTATTAATTTTAATGTTTTTTTAAAATTTAGTGACAGGGTCTCACTCTGTCACCCAGGGTGGAATGCAGTGGTATGGTCATAGCTCACTGTAGACTTCAACTCCTAGGCTCAAGCAACCCTCCTTCCTTACCCTTCCAAGTAGCTCAGACCACAAGCATGTGCCACTACAAGTGGCTTTTTTTTTTTTTTTTTTTTTTTTTTTGGAGAGATGAGGCCTTGCTTTGTTGCCCAGGCTGGTCTCAAACTCCTGGCTTCAAGCAGTCCTCCCACCTTGGCCTCCCGAAGTGCTAATATTACAAATGTGAGCCACTGAACCTAGCCAAAAATGCATTTTAAATCAATTTTTTAAAAATGAATCATACTGCAAATTCAGAAAATATAAGAAAACATATACTCAAGCATTTAAATTATGCATCAGATAATTCATAGGGGAGAGTAATTTTCTGTTTGTACTGAATGTGGGTAGGGTTTTCTTTAAAAGTCATACTTCATTATATATCAGAAAATTTATGCTGGAGAGAAACTTTATGAATATGATGACTAAGGAATCTTCCACTGAAAAGTTAATGACCTGAACATAGTAAATTCACACGAGAAAAAACAATAATTCAAATCCTATTATACATTAAAAACAGTTCGGAGAACAAAGCCTATAAGAACAGTGACTGAAGACACTTCACCTGGAATTTATCAGAACGTTTCCACCAGAAGGAGACAGCAAAAGAGCAAATGTGAGAGTAGCTTCACACAGAAATCAGTTCTCAGTATTCTTCAGCATTTACACATGCGTAAAAGTGTATTTATTGAAAGTGAAAAAGTCTTTTTCACAGAACTCAGAACCAATTTTAAGTTACTCATACTACAGAGAAGCCCTGTGACTACTGCACATTATATATTGTATATGGAAAAATCTTTGTCCATGAGTCACACCTTACTGTATACCAGACAAGTAATTGAGAAGAATACGTCTTCTAAGAATACATCATTTTATTAAATGCCATAAAATTCAAGTAGAAAAGAAAATCTGTTTGATACATTGGAAAAAGTCTTCCTATAGAAGCAGATTTCATAATAAATATAATTAATTTTGTTCACTGATTTAACTTCAAGCCCATGTCTCAAACCAGTGGAGAAAAACAGACCATCTAACACACTTGCCTGTCCTTTTATTAAAATAAATATTTAC